CCGAGAAAACTGAACCTGTGAACAATCTCAATCTCTTCGCCTCAGGGTAGGTTCAAACTTACATCCAACAGGTGACAGCAAAGTGCAAACAGTTAAGTAGCAGTAAATCAATACAGTTGTCAATGAAAAACATTATTTTAAAGTTGAGGATGCTAATGATTTTTTGTTAGTTTGTTAATATGTTCATGCTCTCCTCCTATGGACTTAGCAACGTACTATGGATTTAGTAACTCTGCCTCTTACTTTTATTTCCTGATCCAGGTAGTTTGGTATGCAAACAGTGTTGTCCTTTTTGGTGTTCATCACTTCTGAGACAATGGAGCTCGCACTGGAGCATGGCTTTACAGGTGATGGTGAACTTCTTGGCTTAACTTCCTCCTAAAGGAAAGTTCAAAGATAATAGGCCTTTGCATCCACTCATAATGTCTATTGATGAATGAGAAAGAATGTCAACCAAGACTCACAGCGACCCTGTGAACAATAGACCTGGACCTGCCCTGTCTTGTGCCATCCTCAAGGACTGAGATCCATAAAAATAAAAAACACAATAATTTATATCCTTCCTTTAAATCTAATAATAAAATGTTTACATTCAGAATAAATAATGATATGTTGGTGAAACCATTTAAAAGAATTGGCTGGACACTAATAATTTCTTTAAAGCTTATATAGCATTTATTTGTATTGCAGCTTTAGATAACAACCATAAGTTGAGAGAGATTTATTTTTCATGCCTGAAAAAAAGATAATTAGGATGTTTTAAGCTGTACTTGTAAGGAGACTTTCAAAAAACCTCTTGTCACTGTGGAATAGGAACTGGCTTATAACTGACCCTCCAGTGGGCTTTCAGGAGGCTGTAAATGACACAGGAGAAGATTGTCCTTCTTTCTTTTGTGGAGCTGTTTGTGGGTTGCAACTGCCAGAGAGGGACAGCTCTCAGGCTAACAGTGCAACTCTCTAAGGACTATGCCAATAAAGAGACTTTATAATGTGAATTAATTGTTACTTCCTTGTTTTACCCCAAAGGGTGCCTGAGATCTGAGGAATTAGAAACTCTAACTAAACGTGTTCCCCTGAATAGTCGGAAGGAGAAGAGAAACATTTACTTGTTTTCAAAGGTAAATTGTTACTCTACAACAATAATAATAAAATGTGAGGCTTTCAGTTCAAGGAGAATTAAAGAAGCCTGATCCTGGGAAGGCTTATTTATCTTCAGGTGTGAACACACAGAGCACACAGAAGGTAGTGACTGAATTAATAAAAAACCTGGGACTGGGATGAATAGAACTGACAAAAAGAATTTTAACTGTTACTGTTTAGTGAAAAGAAAGTTATCGTGTATCTAGATGCCACTTGGACTGAGCATGTGTGTGTGTTTGCATATATACATATGAAAGCGACTTCACTTTATGAATTTCATTTCTACAGAAGTCTAAAAATTGCATGCTAACTTAAAGTGGAAAAAGCAAATGAATGTTTGCTTGTGTGAGGAGAGTCAGAGTCTAGAGAGAGATTAAAAAGGATCATAAGAAACATTGAGAGGTCGTAAATGTGGTCATCTGATTTTGATAATTTCATTACACACACACACACACACACACACACACACACACGTTGTTGTGGGTGCCTAGTGATAAGGAATTGCATTGTCAAGCCAAAGAAAGGCACATGGTTTGAGTTCACTAGATGCTCTGCAGGAGAAAGATAATTTCTTCCCATGCGATATACTGCTTCTGAAAATCCTTGGAAGTAGCAACTAGGAGTCCACTCTGACTTGATGGCACATAGCAGAAACAACACATGTACATATTGCTCTGGTGGCTGAGTGGTTAAAAGTTATGCTGCCAACCCAAAGGCATGCAGTATGAATTCACTAGCAGCTTGTTGGGAGAAAGATGAGCAATTTAGGCACTCTGAGAACCCACTAGAGGATCAACAATGAGTCATTTCTGACTCGACAGCATATAACAACAACAACAACAGTGACACTTCACGTGTGTGTGTGTGTGTGTGTGTGTGTGTGTGTGTGGAGTTCTGGTGGGCCAACGGGTAAGGAGCTTCACTGACAACCCAAAGACAGGCAGTACAAAATCCACCAGCTGCTTCAATGAAAACAAATGGACAATCGCCTCTGGTGTGATTTATAGCTTCTGAAAATCCACTAGAGGATTGGTTATAACTCTGTTCAGCTTCAGTGGCAGTGAGTTGAGATGAGCCTGCACGTGTGCACACGCGCACACACACACGCACACACACAGTAGTTATATGCCATTAAGTCATATACATCTGTCAAAGCTTATCAATTATATGTGCTCTAAACATATGCCCTAGTGATGCAATGGTTAAACGGTTGGCTACTAATGGAAAGGCTGAACTATCTGGCAGTCTGTCTGTTCCTGTAAAAAAGTCACTCACGTGACATTCATTGCTTTCAAGTCAGAAGTGACTCTTAGCTGAGCCTCCATTGGGTTTCTGGGACCGTAAATATTAATGAGCTCCATCTTCTCCCCATGGAACTGCTGTTGGGTCCAGTCTACCAGAGAGACTCACCTTTAGTTTAGTAGCAACTCCCTAAGGGTTATGCCACATAGCTACTTATTGTAAAGATTCTAGAGTAGGAAATATTAGGAGAGCATTTCTACTCTGTCCTATAGGGTCATTATGGTTTGGAATGGACTTGCTGGCATAAAAAGTATCTTAATAAAATGATTTAAAATATTTTTAAAAACAGTGACTTTTCAAAATGTTATATAACAAAAAGACTAGGAAATGCTAGAAGTAAGATTAAATAGATAGCTGCTAGTAGCTATTTCTTTACCTTTTTAATTGCTAAAGGATTCTCACTGGAAGTTTTGAAACACTCCTTAATTTTTTTGTAGGGTTCTGAAATGAAATGTAGGAAACACATACTTAGATAACACGTAGAGAAAAAACATATCAGATGACATTTATGATACTTTCTGAGATAAATGAGAATACAGTTGAATTTAAAGTTAACTCAGAGATCTGTTTATAAATATTTGAAACTTATGGTTAATGTTGTAGTATATTTACACAATAAAAGCATTTATTAAAAATTCTTTGCCAAAAATATATTTTAAAAAAACACTATGAGTGGTTTGATCATCTGATTAAATCAATTTTAAAAGTATACTGTTCAGTATAAGGCATACTTTTCTCTGATCCCTATCCATATAATTGTTATTTTTTTAATTAAGTAGCTTATATATGTGGTGTTTTTTTCTGTACACATAAATACAAAATAGCAGTGTGTTTATAATTATAATTAAGCTCTGAGTTCTTTCCCCCTTGTTTCATTGACTTCTTAACCTTACATATTTCATACTCAGTCATTTCAGATTTTAAAAAATGCCATCAAATCGAATCCTTCTCCTGCTGACTTCATGTGATCAGAGCGAAACTGTGGTCTATAAGATTTTCAATGGCTGATTTTTCAGAAATGATCACCTGGCCTTTTTTGTGGGGCACCTTTGGTGAACTCCACCAGCCAGTTTGTCAGCAGTCAATCAAGTTATATGATTGCCATATTTTGCTGCTGTTGTTATGACCAGTTGCCCGAGCGAGACTCAAAGTAACCTTATGCACAATAGCTCTGAATCCTGCCCTATCTTGTCCACTCTCACTCTCTGACATATCAACCCCTATTACTCCAGTTGCTATGTCCATCTCCTCTCCAGTGCTTCCCTCCACCTTTTTTAAGGCCTGGTCCCTCCTGGCAACATGCCCAAAGTAAGTGAGACAGAGCATGAAAATTCTTGCCTCCAAGGAGCAAATTGGTTTCACGCTGCCAAGGACAGACCTGTTTGTTCTCTTGGCAGTTCATGGTATGTTTAATACTCTTCTTCAGCAACTCAGCTCAAAGGCATCAATTCTTCTTCTACCATCCTTAGTCGTTGTCTAGTTCTCTGATGCACAGCAAATCATTACAAAGACCATGTTCTGGATAAGGCACACCTTCGTCTCTAGACTGATATTGTTGCTCTTTAGCACTGTGGAGAGATTTCTGACAACAGATTTTCTTAATTCAATTCATCTTTTTATTTCCTGACTGCTGGTGCTGACAGTGTTGATTGTGGAACTGAGCAAGCTCAAACAGATCCCCCTAAATTACCTTAAAATTACATAAAAATTACTTCATTGAATTTCTATTTACATGGATTTACAGGTAGACTCTTCTTCATAAATGATGTTGTCTCTTTTATTGCATCCAGTTTAAAAGGTAAAAAATCACTTATGCATACACTTTGTAATAACAGAATTAATTGTCTCTAGTTGAATGAAGATACATAAAGTGTAAAGTTGCCTCTCTTCCAGTTGTGAGAACAAAGTTATGGACAGTAAGTTTGTCAAGTTAACATTACATATGAAAAACAGAAAGCACTCTCTTTTAAACAGAGATGATAGTAACAAAGTAAATTACCCAAACCAAAATCTCACTGTCACGGAGTTCACACCAATTCCCAGTTGCCCCACCATGGAATTTTCTGAGGTTGTAAATCTTAACAGGAAAAGATTGCCCATATTTCTCCCAAGAAGCAGCCGGTGAGTTTAAACTGCCAGGCTTTTGATTAAGAGGCCAGAAGAGGCCATACTTAGCATATTGTGCGATCAGGCTCCTTCCTATATAATAAATTAGGTGCTTGTATCATCATTGGATGGAGCACTGGGGACCTAGGCCCTAGGGAGTTGTGCTGTTAACCTATTTCTATAGTAGTTCAAATCCACAAGCTGCTCTGAGAGAGATAGGCAAATTTTTCTCTAAGGTTTATAGCCTTGGAAACCCAATGCAAGGCCAGCTATGAGTAAGTTCTAAGTTACTGATATTGGATTAGAATTTATTTCTAATATCCTGATGTCACAATAGATAAGCATTTAATTGCTAAATGAAAGATGGAAGTTCAAACTTGCCAACAGCTCTGTGGGAAAAGTGATCTGGTCATCTGCTTCTACAGGATTACAGCTGAGAAAACCCTGTAGGGGAATTTCTAGCCAATCGCATGGAATTGCTGTGAGCTGAAATTGACTCAGTGGCACACAGTACCTTTAGAAGAGCTCAAGCAGCGAACTCTGGCCTTGGCCTTTACAAATGACTTAAAAAACAAGACTTTGAAACTAGGGTTGGAGTTTATGGCACAATCTTCACCACAACTAAGAGGAAAGGGAGCCAGGAGGCTGCTGCCACTTTAATTGCTGTCAACGTCTATGAAGCTAAAGGTGAAAAAGCCACCATATTTGCTGACTTTGTCTTTGGACACCTAAAACTCTATAATGTGGCTATGAAAATGTTTTGTCAGGAAAATCCCCTATCTCCACGGTCATGTTTGATAGCAGAAAGCAACCACAGGATTACTTTGGCCTCATGACTACCACATAAATCCCACTACACCTAGCTCCCATTTGGAAGCTAACTTGTATGTGATTCTCAGAAAGGCCATGTTTCTGCTTTCTAGTGACTGCAGCAATGGGCTCATGTATGTCAGACATGGCGAGGGTGGCACAGGATAGGGCATGATTTAAGTCTGTTGTTCATAAGGTTGCTATGAGCTGTACTCAATTTTATGGCATCAAACAACAATAACAACAATAGTTCTGTACTCTATGAAAGGAAACCAGAAAGAAGGAAGACTAAGAGGGCTCTGACTTTTCATTCTCAACAAGGAGAAGCTCTTAAGAGGATGAACCAAGCAAATAAGTGTCAAGACTATACAATGGTGTCTGCCACAGACTCGGGGCTCTATAAATAGCCACTCTTAGTGTTATCTTTTTTAATTTTTGAACTTTAAAAATGGAATTTTTTCATTGTTGAACATTTTCTCTTCCTTCCCCTTCCCCCAGTTTATTTTTCAACTTTTTATTATGATTTGAGTGAAACTGTACTGTTGTATTAAGAATGATTTCTACTTAATCATGTTATTATAAAATAATTTTCACATGCTGAGACTAGTACAAAGCAGTTACAATACTTAGCAATCAACTTACAAGTTGGAGGTTCCAATCTACCCAAAACCACCTTAGTAGAAAAATCTGATGATCTATTACTTCCCCACATCCAGCCACTGAAAACCTTATGAAACATAGTTCTGCTCTAACACAGGGAATAGTCCATGTGACAGCAATCAGTTCAGAGAGCACAAGGGAAGATAATTAGATAGAATTTCTACAGTCCAGAATTTCTTCTGCTCTACCTTGCCATATTTGCCACACTTGGCACTGGCTAAACTCTTTTTTTGCTTTAATTTGACAAACATTAATAAAATTGCTGCTTAAGACCAGGTACTATGCTAGGCTAAGAGGGTATATCCAGAATGGCAGAAACAGAGAAGGTAATTATATTCTGGCCTTCCCTTGAGAAGTTTCACAACTCATTAGAAACAATGGAAATGCCATCCTTGTTGAATTTCTTGGATGTTTTGTTTGAATTTTAATGTTGGTGAAGTATTCTCTTTTAGTACCATTTGGTGTGGTCCAAAGGGACTTTTGCTACTAACTCAAAGATCTTCTCTCTCAGTTAGTTTGAATCCACTCTGAAAGAAAAAGATGAGAGATATCCTCCCATGTTATTTATAGCCTCAAAGACCTACTACTGAGTCAGCTATAGGGTTCTGACTCAATGGCAATGAGGTGTTTTTCTTTTTTTACTTAGCTAGTTTTGTAAAAATAAGAAATTAGAACTAAGAGTAAGAGTTGTTGTGTTAAAGGTTTATCATTCAAAATGGTTTTCTTATCCATTGATTGACTTTGACTTTGCTACAAGGGTGAGAACACATAAATAGGGTGTGTTAGTCTATTTATCGATAAAGGGACTGACTAGTCTCATCATTAAATTGAGCAGATTCAGCAGCAGAAATTGAGAATCTCTGCACTAACAAGGAAGAAGTAGCAGAATGTGCCTTTTGGGGGCCAAAGATTCCTGCACTACTCAGATTGGGGTCTACAGGAGTAGCCCCAGCAACCCCAGCAGAGTACCAGTGACTGACTCGAGATAGTGCCAGAGGCCTTTACCTGAACACTGCTGGAGAACCGAGTGAGAGAAGCTATAATGGGCAGGATTAAGAGAGATTTGTAACACTGGCCTAAAGCCACAAGGTCAGAAGCTGTTCTGACAGAGGAATTGTATCCTCTTACCAACTTGTTAACTCCCCTAATAAACCCCGTAATTGTGAGTATGGCTCTGTGTAGCTATTACAACAGATTTCAGATCCGACAGAGCATTAGAATTGATGTTGGAATTAATAGAAAGAGGTGCAGGAGCATAGGGGAGGGTATGTCTGACCTCATTCAAATGGTTTTGTATTGTGGCTGCTGTTGATGGGGACAGTTCCTGCTTGAGAAGCTAGAAGAAGTCAGACTCTACAGGTGGTATCCTGTCATCCTGTCTTTTTTTTGCCCCCAAGAGTAAAGTAGGTGGTGTTTTTTTTTTTATAATGAATAATCTATTTAATAAAAATACATTTTTTAACTCATTTTAAACTCACTCATTCAACCACTCACACATTCATTCAAGAACACACTCAGAGCTGACAATCCAAGAGGTTTTCAGAGGCTATAGGTTACATAGGAGGAGACTGCTCATCTTTCTCCAGAATAACAAGGTCGAGCCTTTTTGGTGATTTGAATCTGCCTGCTGTGATGTGGGAGGAAAATAGGCATTCTCCTGGCATGGTATTTTTAGTGGTAGAAACACATTGAAGAGTCAGCTACGGGTCAATCTTGGCTTCACAGCAATTTTTTTAAAATACAGTAGCTATATTTGTTTTATAGTATTTCAGCAATCATATAAATCCTGCCATCCCAGTTGTCTGAAGGCAGCCTGTAGAAACATCTCATCAAAGGGAACGCTCACCAGACTGAGGCCGTGGGGGCACCTTCGTTGAGTCTGGGAAGGGGGAGACTACTCTGACAGGGCTCTCCACGGCTGACGTGCTGGGTGAGTAATTGCTTCTGGCATATGGTGCCTCTTCCTTCTCTAAGTGGCCAGCACTCCAGGGTGTTCTGAATGAGCTCTCATCATCATTCACAGTACATATAGGGATGTTATTCAAACCTGGGTGAGCAAAGGGGGGAAAAGACCAAAGAAGCAGATGATGTTTTTGTCAGATCATTGTGTGTGAGAATCAACTTGGTGATAGTTGTTTTGGTGTTTGATAGTGGATATGAAGTCCTATAGGTGGTATAAACACCTGATTAACATATTCAGCTGTTAACCAAAAGATTGGAGATTAGAGGTTCAAATGCACCAAATGGTGTCTCAGAGAATGTACTTTTGAAATATCAGCCGTTGAAAGTACAATTATTGATCACAGTCCTACTCTGGCACACATAGAATCACCATAAGTCAGATTTGACAAAACCACGACTGACTTGTCACCCATCAGTTTGCCTTGCCGTAAGGGTTCATATGTAGCTACAATGACAGATGCTACACCATGTGCATGTAAAAATGCTCACGGTGAACAGGTTTCTAAAAACTAATTTCAAATCAAACTCACTGCCATTGGGTCAATTTCAACTCACAACAACCCTGTAAAACGGAGTAAAAGTGCACTATAAGATTTCAAAGTTCATTATGTTTTCAATTTCTCCTGCTCTGAGAGGCTGTTGGATTGGAACCTGTAATCTCTCAAATTTTCCACAAAGTGGTTGTCCAGTGCTTTACCATTGTGCCAGCAGGGATCTTCCAACTAAAATCCAATGGTTTAAAACAGGCTATTAACTGACATAGTACCCCCTAAGATGATCTCCCTAGTTAGGAAGACTAAAATTACATAATGGCCAGAAGAATGGACTTGAGCATACCAATGATCACGAAGTTGGAGCTCAAGACCAGGGAATATATCATGCCTCTCACTATATCTCAAAGTCTGCTTAATAGTAGACAGCAACAACAGCAATATTAGTGGCTATTTTTCAGATCTGCCAGTTATCATTTTCTTTTTCCCCCTTCATTGATAGTAACCAGATATTTACATGTATTATTCTCCCATTCCCTACCTGTCTGGAGCTCATGTATCTATGTGCTTTGGGGAAGACTGAACTTATTCCCATTTCCATGTTGTTGCTGTTAGGTGCTTTTGAGCTTAATATGGCTCATAGTGACCCTAGAAACAATAAGTATGAATCCTGTCCTATCCTGTATTATCTTCATCATCTCTGACATACTTAAGTGCATTGCTGAAGTCACCTTGTCAATCTATTTCATAGAGGGTCTTCCTCTTCTCTGCTGGTGTTCCACCTTTCCAAGCATGAGGTCCCATTCCAAGAAATAATCTCTCCTATCAACATGACTGGGAACTCTAATGGCTTAGTGGTAAGGAACTGTGTTGCCAATGGAAAGGTATATAGTTTGAATCCACCAGTTGCTCCTCAGGAGAAAGATGGACAATCTCCTTTCATGCTATGTACTGCTTCTGAAGACTTATAGAAGGATCAGATTTGAGTTGATATGACTGGATGATACACAACAAAAACAACAGCAATATGACTAAAGTATGTGAGACAGTGAATACTGTGGTTGTACTTTCTTCAAAACGTATGTTTGCTCTTTTGGCATTCTGTGGGATAATCAGCACTCTTTTCCAACACTACAACTGAAAGGCAACAATTCTATCATTCTTGTGCATTGTACAGATCTCAGATGCATAACAAGTGACTGAAAAGACCATGGCCTTGATTAAGCACACCTTAATCTTCAAACTGATATAATTTCCCTCCAGTAATTTGTAGTGATCCCTGACACAGACTTTCCAAATGCAGTATGTCTACTGATCTTATGACTACAGGTACAAAGGGTGTTGATTGAGGATCTAAATTAGATGAAATCATTGACAACTTCAATTTTTTTTTACATCTGTTATGATGTTGTCTGCTAGTCTAGCAGAGAGGGATTTTGTTTTCTTGATGTTGAGAAGCAAGCCATGTTGAAGACTGTTGTCCTTAAGCTTCTATAGCAAGAGCTCCAAGTCCTTTTCACTTTTAGCATGCAAGATTGTGTCATCTGTATAACTTAGGTTGTTGATAAGTCTTCCCCCAATCCTGATGTCATAGTCTTTTTAATAGAGTCCAGCTTCCCAAATGATTTGCTCATCAAACAGGTTGAATGGGTTTAAAATTAAGAAAAGTATATGTCAGGATTGTATTCTTTCTCCATACCTATTAAAGAAACTTCTTGCTATAGATATAAGTTTAATATGAACATAATTAAGTGTCCTGGGATTCCCATTCTTCTCAATGTTAGGCATCATTTGCTATCATCCACATTAGTTATCTGAACCATCATCTACTAATCTATGCGTGACATTTTCCTAGCCATAGGCATTTGTATAAAGGATTTCTATTTGTGGTAGTTGACTTGATGGAAATATGATTTGATGAGTGGTGACAAAATATAAGACTTTTACTAGAATTTGAAGGAAAGAAGCCCATGCATGCAGATGTGAAGCTAAAAACTTATGCCACCATACTGCCTCTCTGAGGAGGGAAATCCAGTTCTAGTATGAGAGTGACATTATGAAAGGCAGACTAAAGAGATAAGCCATCAAATAAGATTATACTAGAAGCCCACCTACTGTTCAAGCCAGTTTGAATTTTTCTGTCACTTGCGACCTTGAGTATCCTGACTGATAGAGATGTTCTTGGAAGTTGTTAAAATTGAAGATAGTTGTAAGCTTAGCTAGTAGAATTTATGTGAAATGGTATGAGAAAAGGTCAGGCCAGACTGGGTTAAAGAAGGTCTTGAAGGCAAGAGCGTGAAAAATGAATGAGTATCTTCTGGTATTTAAATAATATAAAGTCCTTTACAGAACAAATTGTTGTTGTTAGGTGTCATCAAATCAGTACCCACTCATAGAAACCCTATATACAGAAGAAAACACTGTCTGATCCTATGCCACCTTCACAGTTACTGCTGTACATAGGCTCTCTCTTGCAGTCACCATGCCACTCTATCTTGTTGAGGGTCTTCCTCTCTTTCCCTTTCCTGCTACTTTTTCATGCAAATATCTTCATCCTTGGCCTTTCTGATAAAATATGCCCTCAATATGTGAGGCAAAGTCTTACCAACCTTGCTTCTAAGAAACATTCTGACCACACTTTAAGACACAAGTGCTTATTCCTTGCCAAGTCTGTGGTATATTCAATATTTTTTGCTAACATAACAATTTGAGGGACTCAATATTTTTTCAATCTTTCTTGTTCACTGCCCAATTTTTACATGTGTATTGTGTACCTGAAAATACTATAGTTCAACAATAATAACCAAAGTTTACATACTACAGAGCCTCCACATGAAAAAACTAATAACCCAATCACAAAATGGGCTAAAGACAGGAAACAACTCTTCATAAAAGAGGACATTTAACAAATGGTTGTTCCCAGTCAGTAGATTTTCTTTTCATCCTGTTGGAAAAGTTTTTGATGAACACAGTGATTTAATCTTTAAAAGGTTCCATTCATCAATTTTATCCTCTCCAAATTCACATTTCTGGCTATATTTGACAGTCTCTTTATACTGTAGACTAGGCTGTCTAAGCTTGATCCCAGTTTGTCTCTTATGAACGTTATGGTTTGGGGCTTTACTCCCAAGTCTCTTATCCACCTTGAGATGATTTTTGTGTATGGTGTGAGATGTAGATCCTTTTTCAGCTTTCTACAGGTAACATCTCAGACAAGAGTCTCATAACAAAAGTTTATAGAATGCTTCTGGGTCTCCACAAGAAAAAGTCTGATAACCCTTTTACAAAAGGGTAAAAGACATGGAAAGGATTTTTACAAAGGAAGCTATTCAAATGGCCAGCAGACATATGAAGAAATGCTCCAAATCACTGGCAGTAAGAGAGATGCAAATCAAAACCACAATGTGATACTATTTCACTCTAGTAACAGTGGCAAAGTTTAATAGCACAGCAAGTAATAAATGTTGGAGAGGATGTGGTGAGATAAGAACTCTTATACATTGTTGATGGGATTGTACAATGGTACAACCACTCTGGGAGGCAATTTGGCATCTCCCCCAAAAAAATGAACATAGAAATTCCATATGACCCAGCTATTCCACTACTTGGAACATATCCCAAGAAAATGAGAACTGAGTCTCAAATGGCAACTTGTACACCAGTGTCCATAGCAGCATTATGCACCATCGTAATAACATGGAAACAGCCCAGATGTACAACCACAAATGAATGGATTGAGAAGTTGTGGTACATTCATGAAATGGAATACTATGCAGCACACGGGAGAAATAATTTTGTAAATTACTACCTAACTTAGGAGGGACTAGAGAGCATTATGCTGATTGAATTAACTCAGTCCCACAAGTCCGAATACTTTATAAAACTATTATTGTGGAATGATATGAGGATCCAAGGTGGAGGAGTGGGTGAAAATAGAGCGGTGAGGATGGGGGTTAGGGTGTTAATAATAGGGTTGTACAATTCGATGAATGGGTGGGGTGAAAGAAATGGGAAGGCTCATGAAAAATAAGGTATTCAAATTTTGTAAATAAATCAGAATAAAATAAAAAAAATTTAAAAGAGGACATTTAGGTGGTAAACAAAAAATCAGAGCAATTAGAAGGATGTAAATAAAAACAGCAGAGATAGATACCACATCACTCCAACAGCAGTAGCAAAGTTCAAAACAACAAGCAACAAAACAGGATACGGAAGAGAGGAACTCCTATACTAATGAGAATGTAAAATGTTACAACATTAGGAAAGGAGGCTTTGCATTTCCTCAAAAAAGATAAGCATAGAAATCCCATATGACTCAGCTAGGAATATATTCCAAGGAAAGCAGAATGGAGACACAAATGGACATTTGTACACCTATGTTCATAGCGGTGTTATTCACAATAGCAAGAAAATGAACAGTCCAAATGCCCATCAACAAACAAATTGATTGATAAATTGTGGTACAGTCACACAATGGAATACAAAGCAGCACTATTACATTGGGAAAATCTACTGTCCAGAGACCTCCCCAGAGTACTGAAGAGCAATGATGTAAGGTGGAGACTTAGGTGTACTTGATTTAGGCCATGGTCTTTGCAATTACTTATTATGTCAGAGAGCTGGACAATGACGAAGGATCAAGGAAAGATAATTGATGCCTTTGAGCTGTGATTCTAAAGAAGAGTATTGAATATACCATGGACGGCAAAAAGAATAAACAGGTTTGTCCAAGAGAGCGTGAAACCAGGCTTCTCCTTGGAGGCAAGAATTCTGAAGCTTTATCTAACATGCTTTGGACATATTTCCAGGAGGGACCAGTCCTCGGAGAAGGACTTCATGATTTGGGAAGGTGGAGGAACAGTGCAGAAGAGGAAGATCCTTGATGAGATGGATTAATTCAGTGACTTGGGAAATGGGGTAGGTGTGTCAGAGACAATAAGTTTGGTACAGGATAGAGCAGAGTTTAAAGCTATTATACACAGGGTCGCTATGAGTCACAGGTGACTTGACAGCACATAAAACACCATGCAGCACTAAGGAATAATGATTTTGTTAAATACTATATAACTTGAAAGAGACTCGAGAGCATTTTGCTGAGTGAAATATCTCAGTCTAATAAGGGCAAATATTGCAAAAGCCACAATTGTGAAAATTGAAAGATAAATGTTCAAAAGCAAAAGGAGAGAAGGCAGAGAGGGGGAAGAGGTGGTGGTGGTGAAATCACTCAGGGAAATGTTGGCTTCTCTATATTCTTGGAGAAGCTGGAACCAGAGTTCTCCTTGGAAGCAAGAAAAGCAAAGATTTGTCTCACCTATTCTGGACATGTGGTTAGGAGAGGCTCTTCCTTGGCGGAGGACATTGTGCTTAAAAGGATGAGGGGACAGTGGAGGAGAGGAGGACCTACAACCAGGTGGACTGATACAGGGAATGCAGCAATAGGCTCCAGTGTGTCAGAGATTGTGAAGATAGAGTTCAGGATAGGACAGGGTTCCGATCTGTTTTTTATGTTGCTATGGATTCTACTCAATTTGATGGCACCCAACTACAACAGCAGTACTCTAGAGAAAATTTCAGTTTTCTGTGTCATTAATTTTGGTTGTTTTTTTTTTTCTTTCTTTCCTATCTTTTTCACAATACTTTACTTTCTTTATATATGATGTACTTGATGTTAACTTATCTAGTCTATGGTCACTAATGTGTTCAATGCATCAAGAATATTCTTGACATAGTTTTTAAATTCAAGTAATCTATAGTCAAGGTCATATCTGCCTTTATGGACTTGTTTGAATTTTCTTAAGCTTCATTTTAAACTTGCATATGTGTAGGCAAGTGATGGTCTACTCTCCAATTTTCTCCAGTGTCTTTCCACAGATGTAGTCAATTTGATGCCTGGGTATTCATCAGGGGAGGTCCACATGTGTAGTCACAGTGGGTTTTTGTTTATTTGTTTTTTAAAAGGTATTTACAATGAATAAATTCCGGGTCATGAAAAATCCTACCTTGTGAGGAGGCAGTTCTTTAGGTTGAGTGACCTGAGGGCCTCAACTTCTAGCACTACATCAGATAGTTTCACTGTTATTCATAGGGACTTTTAGGACCCTATTATTTCAGAAGTAGATGGTCAGGACTGCTTTTTAGTCTGCGTTTGGAAGCTTTGCTGAAATCTACTAGTATTTGATATACCAGTGGCAACGCTTCTAGCATGACAGAAATAAGAAAACCATCACAGTACAACAAACATACTTAGGGCATGTGGCCAGGAAGGACCAGTCCTTGGAGAAGGACATCATACTTGGAAGTGTGGAGGGACAGCACAGGAGAGAAAGACCTCAAATGAGTTGGATTGATACAGTGACTGGGGCAATGGGAGTAGGTGTGTCAGAATCAGTGAGACTGGCTCAGAACAGAGCAGGCTTCAGAGTTGCTGAACATAGATATCAAATTAAAAAACTTGTTGTCACTGAGTGGAAACTGACCCACAGTGGACCCTCTAGTGGGATTTCAGAGGCATAAATTGCATGAGAGGAGATTACTCATCTTTCTGCTGAGGAATCACTAGTGGATCCAAACCACTGAAAGGCATTGTCTGTGGGTTAGCAGGTATATAGCCTACTGGCCCCTTACCCATTTCCCTTCCATCACCATTATCCAGTCCCCTCTCCCACCTACTCCATAACAGACACTTCAATCCTCTCATCCTCAGTTTACTAATGATTTATTATGTTAGTGCTTGCTGTTTCCTTTGCCTCCCTTCTTTAGATGATTAACCATGATATAGAATTTTATTATTGCTATTTTCTAGATGGAAGCACAATGAATTTAAAAAGATCACATAGCTTGTGAGTATTTTGACAAAGCAGACAAAATTATCTTGTCTGTAATCTTTCCAAATTGAATTGATTGTTGAATAAGTGACTGAACCCATAGATGATGCAATGAATAAAGTGATGATCAATAATAGTACCTTTAAGAGCTCTTCTGTGTTGATGACTCAAATGTACATATATATTTCTCATTTTTCACCTAAGTTCCAGATCCAGACTCCCACTTGTAGGTACCTCATTTCCCTATGAACACCTGGTGTTATTAAATGAATAGTGTGTGTGTTGATTTATTGTCATATTTTGTCTAAAATTTAAGCTCCTTGAGGGAAAGGAATTTTTTTTATCACTGTTATCTGTCAGGGCTAGGAGAGAGTCTGGCAGATAATAAAGTTTTAATAAATAATGACAGGTGAAAATAAATTCTGGATGAAATGACTTCATCTTCTTCCTCTTCACTTTTCTGTTACATCAGAAAGCAATTCATCAGTTTAGACACAGACATAGCTTGGGATGAGGTGAGGGTGGGTGGGAAGAGTATGTTCTTTTTTATGTTCTTTTTAAATTTGTTCCTTTTATTAATATTTTATACTAAGTTGGTTAAGTCTTGGTTTTGGCCATTGTTTCGTTTCATGGCCGTCAATATGACAAGGATGCTTGTCTTCATCGGTCTAGGCAGTTGTGGTAGCCTTCTCACTCTCTTCTCTGTCTATAGTTCTCTCCTCCCATCATGTTGTTGTTATTGTTATGTGCCGTCAAGTCGTTTCCGACTCATAGCGACCCTATGCACAACAGCCCTAAACCCTGCTCTATCCTGCGCCAACCGCACCGCCTCTGACACACCCATCCCGATTACCCCAGTCACCGAATCAATCCATCTCATAGAGGGTCTTCCCCTCCTGCGTTGTCCCTCAACCCTCCCAAGCATGATGTTCCTCTCCAAGGACCCGTCCCTCCTGGCAACGTGTCCAAAGTATGTCAGACGAAGCCCCAGAATCCTTGCCTCCAAGGAGTTGCTTGGTTTAATCCTCGCCAAGACAAATCCGTTTGTTTTCCTGGCAGTCCAGGGTACATTCAGTACTCTTCTCCAGCACCACAGCTCAAAAGCATCCACTCTCCTTCTGTCCTCCCTAGTCATTGTCCAACTCTCTGATGCATAACAAGCGATTGCAAATACCATGGCCTGTATCAGGCGCACCTTAGTCTCCAGAGAGACACTGTTGCTCCTGAGTACCTTAGAGAGGTCCCTAACAGCAGACTTTCCCATCGCGATACGCTTTTTGATTTCCTGACTGCTGGTGCCAAGAGTGTTGACTGTGGAGCCGAGCAAACTGAAGCTGTGAACAATCTCAATCTCTTCGTCATCCATCCTGACGCTGCCAATTGGTCCAGTGGTGAGAATCTTTGTCTTCTTGACATTGAGCCTCAGTCCATACTGAAGGCTGCAGTCCTTGACCCTTCGCAGCAAGTGCATGAGGTCCTCCTCAGTTTCAGCAAGCAGGGTTGTGTCATCTGCATAACGGAGATTGTTAATAGACCTTCCACCAATCCTGATGCCACAATTCTCCTCATAGAGCCCAGCTGTTTCTTTTTTTATCATGACAATGTTATTCAATCTCCCTTTTTCTGTGCCACAAGCCTCAGGAAAAGGACACATTTCTATTAGCTGTAAGAGTCACTATTCAGTGATTCTCATGTCTCTAGTGGTACTTCTTTCTTAGGAATAAAACTTTTAGAGATGAGTATGAGAACATATTTTGATTTAGCACAGTGGGTGATTTTGATGTGTTAATCTGTGGGAATTTCACAAACTTATCCTATCCTGGGAAATTAGCTAGTCCATTCCATACAGTCCGAACTTGCTCTTCATGTGCTTCATAAACTGATAATTATACCTGTCAACATCATTACTTTTTCCTCTTTTGTAAGTTGTTTGTTATTTGTTTTCTTAAGCAAACAGAAACATGTGAAAACTGTATACAGTTCTTTTATTTTTCAATCCCAAACTCAATTAAATTGCCTATTAGAAAAGAGGCGCTATGACTGGTAACAAGAAGTCTGCTGCATAATATTATTTTTTTTTTAAAAAAGAAAGAAGAAAAAAAAGACGAGGTGTGGTGGGAAGAAGGAAGTGAAACATATGCTTCTCCAGAGCTGACATTGACCATGTAAATGTTGATGTACCATGTCAATTGTTAAAATATGACTATGCTTTCATACTAGTTGAAAAATAGTTGTGGCTCTTGAGCACAGTGTGTGGTCCCTCTCCTGGCCCTTTCCTAACAATCCAGCTGTCTAGTGGCTAATTCCTGTTACAGAAGGACCCATAGTTCTTGATCCTGTGTTGGCACTTAGTCCCAATGCAATAATCAATGCCTGTGCTCTACCAGGGATAAATATTTTGGATAATATCTACATGTTAACGGACAAGAATCATCAAGTTGCCTTAGAGCTGAAAAGACAGACACACATTCTAAACCCTGGAATCACCTTACCTTTTATGTGGCAGACTCTCCTGGGATGAGGAGTGTGCCTGACTAGAAAGCAATTTCCATTTCTAGCAACATAGGGGCTGTTTTTCTGCTCAAACGGAAGAACAGATGCTGGGGATTTAAGGTTTATGTTCATGAAGGACGTCAGTTTCTCTCTCTGCTATTGCCACAAAAATTTTTGGGGTCTATCACCTTGATTAGTCTCACTTCCAGATGTGTGCAGACCCTGAAACCAGAGAAGAGTAGTCTTGAAGAGGGTTTCTTGACATTTTCCTCTTTGTCAAACGTTTTTCATTGCTTGTTTTGCATTTGTTTCTCATGCCAAAGCAATGTAAAACTTTTTCCTACCTGACTACACCTTAGTAAATATTAAAATAAATATGGGCATAGAATAACAAAAAAAATCCCTGGAAAGATCAAAGTATTTGAAAAGAATTACAAAATACATTCTATATTTAACGGCATTTTTAACTATATTTCACTTATTTGGTTTAGCACCACAAAAATACATGATATAAAAATTATCAGTTTTGATATATTAAAATGATGACTTTAAAATGGAACATTCACCAACATTTTTAGATTAAATAGACTATAAAAATATAACTATATCAAATAAAAGATAAAATATTTTATTTCCAATTATAGTGGTGAATCTAGGTTGATGTGAGATGTTTGTTCTTTGGTCAAAATAAAGTACACTGGTAAAATATAATTCCTTAAAAACAGATCTATGCTAGGGGTGAACATTTTTACTTCATTGACTATCATTTTAGACCATAGTAATTTATATTCAAAATTTTCATTCTATATGTTCAGAAATATGAGCTCTGATGTCCTAGTAGTAAAGAGTTACACTGCCAACCTAATGGTGTGAAAGTATAAACCACTAGCTGCTCTGTGGGGGGAAAAGATGGGTAATCCCCTCCTGTGCAACTTATTGTCTCTGAAAACCAGCTGGAGGGTCATGTGAGTTGGTTTCTACTCAGAAATACATGACAGCAACAAAATGTTATGCAAAGTTGAATAAGATATATTTAAGAATAGCCTCATAGTTGACTCTCTAGCAGGTTTTCAGATGCAGTAAACAGCTTAGAAGGAGACTGACCATCTTTCTCCCATGGAGCCACTGATGGATTTGAACCACTTGACTTTAGGTTGTCAGTGCAACTCTTTATTGCTAAATCACCAGAGCTTCCTGTTTTTCACAATTGTCCTGATTATCACTGAGTCAGGACCAACTCATAGCCGAAGTTTTCCAGAGGCAGTGTAATAGCAGGAGAAGAGATTGTCCATCTTTCTGCCATGGAACAGGTGGTGGATTTGAACCATGTCTCTTTGGGATGGCATCATAGCTCTTTACCATTAGACCACCAACTATAAAATCAATCAGGCAATGAAATAACTGTTTTCATCTAGAACACTCATGGTAATATAGTAGTATATGCTCAATAAATATTTGTTAAATTTAAGATAATTATTTTCCAAAGTATAAATGCTTTGATCTACAAACTCAGCATATTTTATTTGTACAATCCCTTTTAAAAATGCTGGTTTGTTTTAAGAGATGACACTATAATACCTTTAAATAGGCTTATGAGTTCCTTTCACTTAATCTTGAAAAAAACATGAATTTGTGATCCATTCACTAATCCATACCTAAATTTTCCAAGTTATTTTAATAATTAATTTAAAAGTATACCTGAGAACAGTTTTAAAAACAGATCGTTTGGTTAACTGGAACCAAAATTTGTTGACATCTTCCTGACCTTGTGATGGGTTTAGACAGAGTTTCCTTTGATTTTCTTAGATCTTGGCACTTGATCTGGGAATTTTTAATTGGTGGAGACAGTCTAATGCTTCCAAAAGAATATGCCAGTTCCCTGTAGTTTCGCTCACTCTTACTCCAAGAAGCCCATGAGAAAGCTTCTTGTTTGTTAAGATATGCTATGGAGCTTAGCAACATGGTAACATTCCTTTGGAAGCTGAGTTCTAGAACTTCTTTGCCTGTCATTGTTCTCAGAGTTTCAGTCACTCACTGCTTGACTAAATCACATGGCAGCAAGTGAATTTCTTAATTTTTGGCATATAATTGCTTCAAATGCAGCAGGAGAGAAAGAAGAAAGACTAAACAAAGAACAATTTGTAGTGTGTTGGAAATTATTCCCACAACTATGCCCAAAGAATATATACTAGTTAGGACCAAAACCTTTTAGTGGGTGCCAGCAAATCAATTTCAGCTCATTGAAGCTATCAGATGACAGAGTAGAACTGCTGCAGGGTTTTCTAGGCAATAATCCTTTTGAGAACAAATAATCAGGTCTTTTTTCCACAGAATGGTTGAGTGGGGGTTAAAACCTCTAACCTTGAGGTTATCAACTAAGTACTTTAATGAGCCACAAAGCTCCTAATAGGAAGTAATGAAATAGTGAAAAATGATGTTAACCATATACACAGCAATTTCGTCAGCATATATAAATATCATGAAGAGTTATCTGCTCATGCTTCCAATATTTTTCATATTAGAGCATACATTAGTCTTAATTTCCAAATTAAAATCACTGAAATGAATGCAAAGAACTGAAAATCAAATACTAATTCCACACAATTTAACAATAGAGCCTAATTTAGTCTCATTTCTTCCCCACCCTCACCCCACCCCGTAGTTTCATTTCTTGATTGACCCCAAGCATTAATGGCTTAACCTCTCCATGTGATTTATGTCACATTTATGTCAATTTATGACTGTGCCTCTGGACACCACTATCAGAGGATACATTATCTCACTGTACTTGGGATGATTAAGATGATTTTCAATGACATTTTGACATTTTAATTCTATACCTTGTATCAGTTACAAATTTACAATACACAGCTAATAACTAGAAATAACAGTATTTTAAGCAAAACAAAAATATATTCTTCCTCACTTGAAAGAATTCCAGAAGTAAATAATCCACAGTTTGACAAAAGCTGGGAAATGCACACACATTTGGAAATTAAAAGCAACAAGCACTTTCCCTGAAGATTCCAACTTTTTAATATATTTTCTTTCTTTTTAAAATTTTTTTGGAGTTCAAATTGCTTTATATAAAGTTCCTTGTAAACAAAACATAAAAAAAGAAATAAAAATATCTATAAAGGCATGAGATTAAAAAAGAAAAAGAATTCTACAAAAAAGGAAAGGGAAAAAAAAGTGACTGAAGACCATTTACTCCTTCTCTTCAGCCTTCTCAGCCTCTTCACCTTCGGACACCTTGGTCCCAGGAGCCTCCTTGCTGTCCTTCACCAAAAGAGCCCGGAGCTTTTCTGTCACGTTTTCAGCGTTATCATTCTTCCTAACCCTTTCTTTTCTCTTTCTTCAGTCTCTTTCCTGCACTCCTGTTTTCAGCATCTGGGAAACAGATGACAGGCAGCTCTGGATTGGCGAAGCCAGTGTTGAGTGTTCGAGGCCCAGGCTCAGAAGCGACCTGCACTCCGTCTCAGCTTCAGCTCCGTCAGTGGCGTAGGGCTATGGGTGGAACAGAGCTTCAGGGTCCTGCCCCAGCTCTGGAACAGACAGAGGCTCCCCTACTTACACTTTAGGAGCTCCATGTCACCAGTGCCCGATTCCTTCCACTGGGGGAGATCATTTTTGGAGACGAAGCAGTGTAACTTGCCTGCATTTTATAAAGTTCCTATTCATCTTTGTTTAAATTTCTTGTTTAGGAAGGGAAATGATTGGTTCGAACTGGGAGTCATGGTTGGACTCGTTGCACTCTCAACGGTGTCGTGATCCTCATGAGAATCCTTGGAGGCTGCCATGGAAGCTGTGTGGCACTGCTGTGGCAGTGGTGGTGGCAGCAGCTCCTCTGGGTTTGTTGGTGGTGGGATCCCTGGCCTCTCAGCTCTTAGATTCTTCCAACTACATCTAGCCCATGTGTTTTCTTTAATACCATCAGTTACATTAATTATGTTGGAGTTTAAATCCAACAGCAACTCTGTAGAAGAAAGATGGACAATCTCCTGTCCTGCAATTTACAGTCTGGGAAATCCAATAAAAGGCGAGCTATGAATTTGTTTTAACTTGAGAGCAGTGAGTAAGTGATAGACTTCAGTGTTGTTATGTACTGTGGAATTGCTACCGACTCATAGCTGGACCTCCAGTGGGTTTTCAGAGGCACTAAATCATGTGGGATTTAAATTTGGATTGCATATCAATGTCAAGAAAACAAAAATCCTCAACACTGGACTAATAGGCAACATCATGATGTTGTTGTTGTTATTCACTATAGAGTCGTTTGTGACTCAAAGAGACCTTATGTACAGCAGTCTGAAACCTACTCTATCCTGTGACAATTGTCTCTGACACATCTACCCTTATTATCCCAATCATTGAATCAATCTATCTCATCAAAGATCTTCCTCTCTTTCACTGTCCCTCTATGCTTCCAAACATGATGTCCCTCTCCAAGGACTAGTCCCTCCTTGCAACATGCACAAAATGTGTCAGATATGAAGCCTCAGAATCCTTGCCTCCAAGGAACAGCACGTTTTTACCCTCTCTAGGACAAATCTGTTTTCCTGGCAGTCCATGGTATTCTCAATACTCTTCTCCAGCATCACAGCTCAAAGGCATCAATTCTGTATCATCCCTAGTCATTGTCCAGCTTTCTGATCCATAGCAAGTAATTGCAAAGACTATGGCCTGTATGAGGCATACCTTAATTTCTAGAGTGACATCGTTGCTCTTCAGTACTCTGGCGAGGGGAACAGATTTAAACTGTCAATGACTTTATATTTCTTGGATACACAATCAATACCTTTGGTACCAGGAGACGTATTGGACTAGGAAAATCTGTTGTCAGGGACCTCTCCAAATTATCGAGGAATAATAAAGTTACTTTGAGGATTAAGCTGCACTTGATTCAGATCATGGTCTTTTCACCACTTACTATGCTGCTTAGAACAGGATGATGGATAAGGATGACAAAAGAATTGACACCTTTGAGCTATGTTGTTGGAGAAGAGTACTGAATATCTCATGAATTGCCCAAAGACATACATGTCTTGAAGGTACAGCCAGTATGCTCCTTCAAAGCAAGAATGGTGAAGCTTCATCTCACATACTTTGGGTATGTTGCTTGGATAAATTAT